CTCTTGAAACGCTTGATGGTAAGGGAAAAGGATTTTCGGAGACTAATAAACGCTCGTGACCAATAGTTAATGCTCTCCCATTTGAATGCTATTAGACTCGGGAGAGTACTTTGCAAGCCACAGTATTTAGCAGGAGAAGCAAACGATAATTTAGGAGAAAATTATATTTGGTTAGAACATGTTAGAATTGATGAAATGTGTCTGAAAATATCATCTTGTCCTTAGCTCCCAATTGAACTTTTTGTTATTACAATCCGGTTCATCGAGTAGTGTTTCAATTGGTCTGTTCGAACAGTAAACGTATGCAGTAACAGCCCAAATTAGCAGGAACTAAATGTGTTTATGGGTGCAAATGTCCACTGTCATGTCAATAATACCAATGCTTTCGGTACACTCACCACTATTGACCGTACGTGCTGAACAAGACGCATAAAACGAGGAGCATTGTGGTCGACATGCATTTGATGGAGTCATCTACAATTTTATTTGATGTGAACGGAAAGATGTGTGGTGGAGAGCGATGAGTTAGATCATACGGATAGCAAATGCTTCTAGTAGTTACGCATGTCGCTGAGGGAACCTACCTTAGCAGTATGCAGGACACTCATGAAAATTGAATAGAAATAATTATTTGCAATAGAAATCATACACTGGTTTGATTATTGAAACTGACCGAACTGATAGTGTATTTTGAAGTTCGCTTGATCGGCACTGGCTGCCGTTTTTCCATCATACGAGACGACAACGCCTAGACCATTGGATGTGAACGTGCTGCTCTGCTCTTTACCACAGATTTCTTTCGCTCCGGACTTGTCCTCATTAGTAATCCTGATGCAATTCTTTTCCGTTTTAGGCTAAATTAAAAAAAAAACAAAATTTAACTTTGTTACCGTTCCTAGTGTACTTAAATTTCAATGGCAACAGGTTTACAGCCGAATGTGGAAATTAGTTATTCGTGGGTTAGTTTAGCTTCAACTACAAAACTCCATATTCAATGAATTCATTGAGACGGTGACGCTAATACGTTTCTGATTCTCCATGCCTTACAAATCGCTCTGCTGAAGAAGTTCTAATTTCAGAACTCTGATTGGACAAAACTTGTAAGAGAACCATTTCAGTACCGTTTTGGAAAAAAGGTTGAATAACTTTAAAAGTTCACTAGAATCATTACGCACAACTGTGCGTCTTGTTTCCAATAGTGCTTTGTTAATAACTCTTCACTTTAGGACATTCATTTCCGTATTAGAATGGCATCCTTCAAGTGGAAAACCCAAACGATTGAAAGTGTAATCGAACACGTTTTGAGCGGGGTAGCATTTTGTCTCACCATTTTTCAATCACGATAGGATTGATCTTTTAAAATTAATGTAACACATTGTTGTTGGGTATAAAATAATATATAAAATTCTTACCGGTTCCACATCCAAGCTGACGCGTATACTTTTACCACCGCTCGTGGAAATGTTCCAAGTACAAACCAAGCCAGCTGGAATAGTATCTCCGGATTCGGCAACGGTGAAAGATTGATCATTGTTCGTTGGTGGACCGGGAATTTCATTACATCGATTATTTTCCACTTTATCCGAAACTGGAATTCAAAAGTAGCATGCACATACATTTTCGCAAATTATTTGAAATCTATAGTTAGTTACTGTAAACAATGTATTTTCAAGGAGTACTGCTCACATTTATTATCCGGGGTGAGTTAATTGAGTGATTTAAATTGCCTGACGATTTGGGCGTTGAGCGAAAATGAAGTGACATACAACTATCTTTGTATAGTATGCCATGTGCCCATGATTAAGCTACCACTGTTTGGTATTTCATAATAGGTAATATATTTACTACAACGTCTATTGCAATAATACTAATATACCTGCCAAGCACCTTCAACTATTTCAAAAGCCACTGCATTCATTTTAGAGTTGTAATATGTAGGAAAACAAATAAATTCTGGGAAAGAACTTCAGAGCTCCATCGCGATTTTGAGATACAAAATTCTTTTCTGACATCAATTTAATGGTTCGAAATTAAAGCGTTCAGATGAGGCGTCTTTTCATTACGGAACCCGCAACATGTAATCATCAACCAATATACATTGAAAACCAAACAACGACGGACATAAAACTGGTTTCAGTGGCGTTAAAATGCCTATGATCTTCAAGCATGAGTAAAACTCACCAAGTTGATAATACACTTTGAAGTTGTCGATGAAAGTACCTTCCTCACTTGAACTTTCAAACGCAACAGTGATGTCTTTTCCAGCTTCTGCGGTGAAAACGTTGTTCCCCTCTTGACAACAAATTCGTTTTGCTGACATCGCGTCTGTACTGCCTGCGTAGGAAACTGTGATGCATTGGCCCATATCAACGGGCTGTCAATGGGAGAATTATATGTGCATATTGTTATGCTTTCATTTTCAAGTCAGTCATACAAATCAACCGCACAGTCAGGAGTCATACAAATGGACCAAAACAATAACGTATCAGCGACGGATCGAGCACAACTATCGATCCACTTATTTACGAATGTTTTTTGGATGCGCAAAAGCAATCCATTGACACTTGGAGAACTAATAAAGTGTAGTTTCCATTGCTGTTGGACAGAAGTACACAGCGGTCTTAAGAACAATAGTGCAAATGCACAAAACAATCTCATAGAATGCAATTGAACAGACGTTTCTGATGATGATGATTCTCTCAGTTAGTAAACACCAACCATAACTTTATTGTGTGATAAAAAGTGAACTAGGGTTCATTATCACTATGTAGCAGTTGACATGATTTTAACTGACGTGCTTATTAAAATCAAGCCGAAAACGCTTTCAAGAAACTCATTTAGATCGAACGCACCGTTTTTGCATCCAACGAAATTTCCAATTTTTTATCTGAACTGGACTTCAGTAGCCAAACACAGGCTATCTTCGGCACAATTGGATGCTCCTTAGTTATATTAAAGTATTGTTTCAATTCAGTTGGAGCATTCACTTTTTCTGTGCATTTGGGGTCATTGACTGAAATTTGATAAAAATTAGTTGGAAATCAAGGATGACAGTTGATGCGTTTTAATCCAAAATGACAATGTTTTCCCTTTAACTTAGGCAAGTCTTACCCAATTGAAAATATAGTGGGATATCTTGAAGTGCTGCTTTGGCAGCAGGCAATCCGGTTGACTTCATCTGAATAATAATCTTTTCTTTGAAGTCTATTTTTTGCTCATATTCTTGATCGCACCAATCACCCCGTGATGATGTCCCATCACTCAGTGTAATACAATTCGTAGTTGACTCTTCCTACACATTGTGAAATGTTAAATTTAAGTCGTCTTACTTCTTTCGAAGTAGCAGTGGTGCTTGCAGGTCTGGACAAGTGAACGAATCTTTGTGTGTGTGTGCTGATGGTCCATTGACATTTTTCTGTTCTTGTACTAGGCAGAACGAGTTTTGTCAAGGTTTCAGATGCCTCAGAAGCTGTCTGACCGCATTCTTTATCGTCGGCACCTACAAGTTTTTATAGCATTGATGCATTTTATCAGACTTACTTGCAAGTGCGAAAACGTTGATAATTATAACAAATGCTATTGAACTCCGCCACATGTTATCCATGATTGAATCAGTATTGCGTTTTAAGTATTTATATTCCGCGAATACGTAGGCGTGTTCGACTTTCCAGGAACGGCGTTCAAGCTGCTTCTTACTTTCTGGTTTCAGTTGCACAATCGACAGCACTGCACAGCGTTTTCATTCTGAAGGACGCGCACTTTACCAATGGTTGATTAGGATTCTGGAAATGATTTCACATGCCGCATTGGTGTGCCAACTCATGGTGAACACGATGTTTGAGTTCTGACTTTTCAACTATATTTACATTAGATATAACTTCACTCAATGAATCATTTGAGGAACTTTTTCTAAAATGCAAACCTCTTACAATATTTGAGGGTTTTCACAAACATTTTGAAAAACATTTTTTTAATAAATTTGTTATCAAACTGTCTTGTTTTACGTTTAGTAGTAATCATTTATTTGAATCACTGAGTCCCGTTTGTCCATTCCATCAACGTAAAACGCAGAACAAATGTCAGCATTTATGATCTCGTTAACTCTCACGGACGCCAGCTTAAAACTAGGTTGCATGTATACAACACTGCTCACATCTTATACCTCTAGTTTGTTGTTGTTACCTCAAGTGATAAAAACCTTATATTACCTGCCGTTACCTCAGACAAAACAGTTGATCGAAAAACAATTGCACTTGCTTCCACTGAACAAATATCGCCAGAATGTATAGCTTGTAGTTGTCATATTTGATCGGATTGACATCAATTTGAACGAACCAAACTTGAATGAATACAACAATAAAATAAAAGGCATGGTTAAGGCTAAAGGACATCTACGAGAAACTGCATTGCACCTGACAAGAAGCGTTATCTAAGGAGGTAATGGTTCGCCCAACGCGTTTTGGATGAGACTGCCAGGGAAACTCTGGTAGGTTTGCGCAACAGATTTAGCTCGATCGAGGGTGCAGTCTTTAGCACTCCCCTGATGAGCTTGAATATCTTTCCAAATTATCAAATGGGAGAGGTAATTTTGATAACTGACCAGGTCCCGCCTGGTAGATTTGCGGTATAGTATAAGACCTCTGTGATTCTAATGCGTCGAATCCCACAACCACATGAAAACGCTATAAGTATTGAATAGGAAAGTTATTGCGCACCCCTTGTTGATCAGCCTACAATTTTCTCTTAACATCATTTATTTACATGACCTGATCTCAGGAGTACTAGAACTTGTATCGTGATCGACTTTCTATTGTCACAAAGCTATATTTCTGTAAATTAGTCCTGAGCTGTGCAATGAATATGGATCACATTCACGTAAAACCTGGAAATTATCCACAGTTTGAGGAAAGTTGAATATGTAGAAATATCATAGCGAAGGCTATCGTGGCTGTAATATGGGCGACAGGTTTTAGTTGTAGTCTAATAATCTAACGTGAAACAATGGAAATCCGGTCAATTATCAAATCACAACTGCTGTTGTCTTTAAGTAATAGTTTCAACAACGTCGTTCACAAAATCAAACCTGTTTAATGAAAGAACATTCGGGAACGTGTTGTGAATTACGTCTCGTTTTGGGTGTTTATCAGACACAACTGTTTTCATATATTCACAAATACAAAATTATAACCAATTGTATCTTGTGACGGATATAGGCAATTCTTGTCGGCGTATGACTGGATGGTACAACAGTCTGGGTAATAGTGACATGAATTGTGTTCTTGGTGAACGATATGTATAATTGCCTGCAGAATGCGGTGAGGTGAGATCGTTGATCGCAAGTGGAAAACGTAATCCATCAGATCGTGATGGTGTATTGGTTTCGTGACTGAGTTACCTCTGATTTCCATTTTTTCCTGATGAGGATAATTCAAAATGACAGCTAAGATTCAAAAGGGAAGCGCAAAAGGTGTAGATGAAACAGCTTTGTATTACACGCCACTCCCTAAAAGAAAATTAACTCTGGGTCAACTTCCTGCTTTGTGGGAGTATGACTGGAGCATAGTTATCACCGTTGACGATTAGAAAGTTTCAGATTCCACGATGTTTCCGAGGTATAGTTAGAAAAAGAATTCCATGCAGTTATAATTCTTCAAAGAATGCAAACATGACTTCTACGTTATTTCACAGTTGGCTGTTTGATATCAATTGCGAAATGGTTTCTCAAAAGCGCTCTATTTTACTNTGCCTCTTGCCGTAACCAAGCCATAGTATCCTCTAAAGTCAAATTGGTACGGCTGCCTCCGAACTGTTCTTCAATGCCACAACCAATGGATCAGGGCGTTATTTATCAATGTCTTTCATGAAAGTTATGTACAAATCCACATTGCTTCAGCCAGTGATGCAGTCACCAGAGGATAAATGCGGTTTGATCGATGACTTTACTCATTATGTGTCTATTGATGGCCGTCTTTTTGAAGAATAAATTGCCTGGCTGGAAGTTGATGATCAGGAAATTTGTTATTTCAAATTTATGTATCAAGTCTGATTTTAGTCGTTAGATGAATTCGTTTGGAATCGAGAGAAGCAACGCAAAGAAGATGAATGTGAGGCAACGAATATGCTGGAAGTCATCTCAATCAGAGATCAATTGAAGCTGTTTGCTTTGGCTAATGCTCGGAGTTCGGGTAGTGGACAACTAATTTAAACAGCGCGTTTGTTGATTTCCAAAGAGGAGCCAAACTGATACAAACGACGATTTATTATTTTGCTAAAAATATATATTTATAATCTGAAAAGTGTTGTTTGCGATTCGGTGGAGCACTGCACTGAACTGTGTGAAAATCCATTGTGGTCAATTTTGATTCAGTGGCCACCAAAGCCACTGAAGTCATTTGGTCTATCGATTGTCTCGGTCTCACCAACGTGGAAACGGGTGAACAATATCAGCGATTGACTGGCAAGCGGATGAGTGGAGTGATATGTCAGATCCGAGCGATCGATAAACACCGTTGCGTGGACGCACCTGTATAAATGGATGAACGATACTCTAACTTGTCCTAGTGCACAGATGAAATTAGACAGGTCACTTGCCAAAGGTCATCGTAACCCAGGTCTAAGGACTGTTTGTGAGATGCATTCTTAGTTTATGAATCGTTATTTGCTTGAGAGTTGCAGTAATTCCTGTCTGCTGGCGTTTATGGCCTTCGGTTGACTGAACAGGAGAGAATTTCTTCCGAATAAACTCCAGCCTCACGCCTGCGGAAAAAAATTCGCGAGAACCCGCTTTAGAACCCGCTAGTGCGAGTCATCATTACTTGAACTTTTTCATTCCGAATCTCCCACATGGCGCATCGCTTCATAGCTGATTCTCCGGTGGTAATTCTTTACAAGCCCTTAAGCAGCATCCGCTTCAGAACTTGTCGGATGTGAAACGATGGAGGAATCGGACTGTATTACTATCCGCATTACAACAGGGCATATTAAATTGATACTCGGACATCTTAATTTGAAGAAGGTATGGTTTATGAATCACGTCAAGGCATCACGCGTTGAACTTAGTCCGACCAACAACCATCATGATGAATGCATCAATCGTTTTGAAAATACAGTGGTAACAACAAGAGCGCACGAACGAATAGATATCCACAGGCGCTAATGATATCCATTTTTCACCAGAAAATCATAAATAGATTGCACAACGAACACTCATTTTGAATATTGGAAGGACGTCAATCTATCGAATAAACCCCATAACAGATATTTAACCCATTGTGGATGTTATTTCCTTCTAACTGTATTAGAACTGGTTCTCGTTTATTTTCCTTGAAAGGGTTAACACTGATGTGATTATTATGGCTAAAACTGTTGTGTATTATGGTGGACGTCATTTAATCAATTCTGCGTTAAGCCGAACGTTGTAATGGAATAGAGGAAACTCTGGAATTATTATGAGATAAGTGGGTCAGAAAAATTTCCCTTGAAGTAGTTTAGGGATGAGTAGACACAGAACTGAAAAAAGGCGGAATACCACGTACATTGTACCGATATTAGGCTGAGCGTGTCATGAAAAATTAAATTTATTCGATAGATAAATGATGCGCAGGACGGTAGATCTAAACTCCGTTATAAATAAAGAGTTTTTAACCATAAACATTGGGAACAAATGACGAGATTAACCTACTTTTCATTGATCCAGTTTATTTTGTCAAAAAAATGGCAACCGAGTTTTACATCACTTATTAACATCTACTGCTCTTTACCCTGCTGTGTAGCAGATCCTGGAATTTACCCACTTTCTTCGGATTCCCGAGGGGTGCAACATAGCAGCAGATAGACTATATAGGTAAATATACGTATATATTTGCATATATATATCAGCATGATTGTAAGTGGCCTGACCAGCTGGTTGGTATTTAAATAGTTTAGATACTTCGTCCCTCTGTGGGGTGTGAATTTCTTGATCACTAATTTCCTTAAATAAAGAAAAAAAGTGAAAAGAGTTTTACGGAGCTCCACAGCTTTTCACCCAATGCTTTGTTTGTGCTTTACCGTGAAATCGATTACAATTATCAACTAAACTCTGGTTAAATATCCCTTAGCATGCGAACGTTGTAAATTCCTCGAATGGCAATTCCTATCAGGTGAAAGCGATTCTATGGCCCTCGATTTTATAAAGAAAAGTTACGAGAGATGCTGAGCTTGCGATTGCTGTGCACTAGTTTGTATTGACAGATTCTGAATGATCCTGAAATAACTTATCACTAGGTTTCTGACTTTAAGTTATTACTCGGCTCTTGGCGATAGCTATAGATTTGCTCGGGATCATCACTCACGATCGATCTCATATCCCACTGCTTTTTTTAGAAATGCATCATGAGACATTAACCTACACACAGATGTACATGAAGTCCGTAAACAACGCTGTAATCGCGTAATAAGAATGAGTACCGGTAGTTTTTCTATCGTTGTTTATATGGACGCCGTATAGGTAGGAAATTATTGTGTTTTACCATTTAATCCACTACATTCATGAACCCTTTCAGCAGTTGCTAAACGGTGAAAGTGAGCGTGTTGTTCATCCTTTGCACCACATTGTTCTAAAAA